CGAAAAAACAAAACAGTAGGATGCGAGTCATGGGTTGTGAGCCCCGCTCATTGGGGGAGAGAGCGTGGGCGGACAGCCAAAACCGACCGGCTTCGTGATCGCCTTCGGTTAGAACATTTACACCCACAAGTTTCAAGCCCCCTCCCCGCACGGACGATGGAAATCAGCAACCGACAAGACAGGGAGGAGGGAGGAATTTTTACATGGTAGAATGCACTGGTGCCGGAAATGTGCTTTTTACATCCTCCAGCATGTCCGAGGGCGTCACATATTTTTGTAAGGGAAAAAAGAGGACGGCAAACCATAACCTATACAGAAGACCTGCTGACGTCTTCACCAGACTCGTGACCGCATTAGTACACTAAAATTGGGAAAGTACGTTGGGCTTCGGAAAGACCTACGTCCCGCTGCCGAGGTGTGTGAGACCGCCCATATCGCGACTGCTTGAACCGTCGTCAATCAAATGTGAGAGCCTTAAGCTCACGAGACAATGCCAACCTGATGTCCAGTCGCGTCTCTTTGGCGCACGAAGATCCTCCTAACTTCTGCATTTGTTGGGATAAATGCCTAGTTTGAACCTGTTCTACCCCTGAAAGTGCATGGGAGCGAACTTTAAACGGTATCGACTAAATAGAACCCCTGTTGCTGGGCACTAACAAAGTGTTACAGTATTCGTTACCTTAAGGGCGTTGGTTTTTTGACCCGGACCATATAGATAAAATGGTTTCTATTGTAGGCTGATAACCCCACTAACTGAGAAACCTACGTATGCAAGCCTTCTGGTTGGCAAACCTTTCAACCAGCGACCATCCATCACTCCTTTCGTAACAGTTTTCGCTACTACACAGATACATTTTCTCTCCAACCAATCTCTTTTTTGTCTTTAGCTTCTTGAGGCTTTTTTGCTGTCGAAGACGACTGCCAGCACGTAAGAATACCAGTGAACCTCTCTCCACTTCTTCTTCGGTTCCTGTCCAGCCTTTGCCCAATGAGCGGCTGTTGCGGAATTCACGCACAAGATGACATTTTCAGAAAGGTTCCTTGAGTGGGAAAAAGTGTTTCTTGCGGGAGAAGTGGGCGCATGCTCTCTCTATTTTTTTTTAATTCCTATGTTATGAAATTGCCACAAGCATTGACGGTCGTCCTCCTCTTAACGCCCTAAACTATTTTTAACACTCCTGTTCTGTGCCAACGAGGCCGATGAAAGGACACATGTTCGGCAGGAATAGCAACGGGACTGAAACCCGTAGTAGTGTATTTAACTACTTGAGGGAGTTTGGATTGAAGAGAGCTTGCGTTGCATTTGAAAAGCACGGTACCTTGCAAGATAAATAAGGTGTGACTAGGACTTTTGGGAGATCCAAAGGACAAGTCTACAGGAAGACGTTTGCCGGTGCAACATGTTGCTCTATAGGATGTTCAATTTTTATCTCTCGGGCACCAGATATATTCAAACCGTTTATTTTAGATAACTTTCTCCATCTGAATTTTTTTAATATCAACTTTTTAGTACTGCGATGTTCATGCTATGAAAGATGCGGACAAGACTAGGAGCTAAACAGCGTTAACTGTTACTTTCTTGAATGTTTCCAGGTGTATTACCTGCCTAATTGACAGAACAGATATTTAGTAGATCATGTCAAATAACGATACCTGTTAGTTTCAAAATTTCACTAAACACCTTTAAGTCCTTCAAGGTAGAAATCTCACCCATATTTTGAAGAGGGACATGTAACGGTTTGTCAAAGTTATTGAGCCTTTGAATTAACGAACACTAACCCATGTACCCTCGGACTTACTCAACGTATGTGCATTTCTGTCCAAGGACGACACCCTAATAAAAAACCAATAACGTCTGACCTATTTGAAGCTGCCAGCCAATCCCTTCCAATCCTATGGTCAGTGATTTTTGATTCTGCAAATCAGATTTGCTGCTTTAGAATAGGTTGAAGCTCATAGGGTGGGAAATATTTGCTCCGAACACTGGACCTACGTCTATACTCGAGTCGCAGATTCGATCTGGGTAAGAACACTTTATATGTACCACTATAGTATCACCTGACCCACTTTTTCTGTTGTACGGGAAAAGTAGTAAAATGGAAACCGTTTCTTTCGCATATATAGATGGCATATTCAATAAATTAACTATTTGGGCATGAGCCAGACGTTGTAGTTAATGAAAAGCAATTTTTTATCTACTATAGTTCAGTTTTATCGAAATTTGCGTGTGTCTACTATGCAGTTAATATCATTTAACCTGAGCTTCAGTTGTGGCAACGACTGGTTCCTAGTAATACCAAGGATTATTTTAATCTGTAATCGCTACATACGAAAGAAATATTTTTAAAATAGCGCTCGGGTTATGTGATACTAAGGTGATACTGACAGACCTTTCTTACGCCGATCTGATAGTCAGAGGTAAAAGTGCCGAGGGCTACTCGACAGATATTAGTAATCAAACAGGAAACGGTAATTCTAGTTTCCTCAGGTTGTTCAAAACGCTTTACCTGGATGACACATCTTATGCACCAAACCAGGCATTTAAATTCGTATAAGAGCGTGTTGGTTAGGAATCTCACCTTCAAGGCAACCTTCTGGTACTGGATATTTCCATCGGCGTCGGTCGTTTGCAGACAACCCTCCCAAACCTTTCCAAATGCGCCACACCCAATGTAGTGCAAAAAGCGGATCCGAGAGGCGGGAATGTGCATGTCCTGGTAGAGCTCGCCGTTTTCCGGTAAGACATTTCCATACAGGGAGTTGAGCTCCTGATTCCAAATGGGTTCAAATGTAGACAAGTCCATGGGAGCGCCACCTGTTCCGCTGAGACTCGTAGTCTTCGTAGCGGCCAGACTTGTGTCCTGGAGAGAGCCGTTAAGCAGGCGAATTTGGCCTCCCCCGCTGGCGCGGTTAAGGCTGATGATGAAGGGGTGCTTTCCCTTGGGAAAATCGCGTCGACCTTCAGGTCGGAGAAACACAGGAAACAGCCATACGTATAATACCAACTTTCTCTTCTGCAAAATCATGTTTTTAAGGGACATCGTTCCCGATTAGGAACTACTAGGATAAAACGAAAAACACTACGCAATACCTCAGACACGGCTTCAAGCTGATAGGTTTCTTGAGAAAGGTCGCGGTTTTCCAAGAGGAAAAGTTCAAGCAGTTAGTTTGGTCAAAGCATTTTTGGATAAAAGGAACTGGAGATACATGTCTGCCCAAGAGCAAAAAGTGTACGCAAGCGATAGCTATAAGGTTTGAGTAAGACACGGGAATAATTAGTGTCATTGTGAGGATCAGCGTTAGGACGCGGAAGGCTTCCTGTAATAGGCACTAAACACCTTTTTAAAATCCCCCAGAAAGAGCTATTCAAAGTCCCATCGGAAGATCTTTTATAAATTAGATCTGAAAGTCAGGGAGAGAAGCACTTTGTTCCGTTTTGTCCTAGAATCAAGGATAACCAAGTTTATGTACAAACGGCTTCTTGGAGCTTAATGGAATTATACTGCGAATCCTAGCAAAGTTCGAGGAAACCTACAGTACGGCCTAATCTTCGTGTAATATGCCAATATATGCAAAAGATTGCTACCCTTTCGGTATTTGTCATTGAGTAAGGTTGTAATAATGATTACCATACAGTCTATTATGAAGCCATTTCAGTCACGATCGGATGCCAGGTTTCTGACGAA